AAAATGAGTATGACTTTTTACCCATTTTTTAAAACATTTGTTACGTGCCGTTCTTGCAAAAAAAAACCCACAATATTCTCATCCATATCTATTTGAATTATAAATCTCATATTACAATATAGTTTAAGATAATATTAAAAAGAGAGATGTCGGAATGAAGAAAGGAGGGAGGGAGGGAGGGAGGAAGGAAGGGAAGGAAGGAAGGAAAGAAGGAAGGAAGGAAGGAAGGAAGGAAGGAAGGAAGGAAGGAAGGAAGGAAGGAAGGAAGGAAGGAAGGAAGGAAGGAAGGAAGGCTCAAGTACCTTTTCTATAATAGCTATTATATGCTATTGTCTTCAAGAAGTGGTACATGGTGCATACATTCTTTGGCCATTCTGTAATTCATCAGCCCCCAGTCTTTTGGGTGCCAGGGACTGGTTACATGGAGGACAGTTTTTCTGTGGATTGGGAAGAGGTGTGGTTTCGTGCACTGCCTGGATCCTCCATATGCAAGGATGGGGCTTAGCTCACTTGCTCACCTGTAGGCCGCAGACAACATGTACTTGACAGCAGTCACATTAATATTTTTTTTTAGTGTTCTCCAATAATTAATTGTAATGGATATGGTTAAAAAAGACAATTTCTGAATATAAAATTATTATTTCTTTTTATGTATAGATACATTTGAACTGTCATTATTTCTTTTCTTCCTTGCTATACTGAATTCCCCATGGCTAATATTACACTTCTTCAGAGTTCTCTGCATGTAAGCAGTGGTCAAAGTTGTATTGCTATATGAAGAAATTCAAATGCATCTGTGTTTAGTAGTTCAAAGGTGTGTCAAAAATGCTGAGCACTTGATTTTCTCCTAATCATTTCAGACTGTTTGCTCAGCTGGTCAATTTAGACAGAGAAGGAGCAGTGAAGAGAGAGGTAAATTACTTGGACCCTTACGTGTAATGGACGTCTTTTTGGAAAGACCCCCTGAGGATCTGAAAAACACAGGAAGCTCTGTTTATAAAGGGAACATCAAGAAAATCAATGTCTGTCAGGAAATGTGTAGAAGACAACTACTTTTCGGACTCTACATTTATAAAAAAGTTTTAAAAATACAAATTTAAAGTTAAATATTAAAGACGACTTAAAACATTCCCATTTGAATTTTTGGAGTATTTCCTTAAAATCTGTTTGAGGTTTTGAATCTGAGTTGAATTCAAATGATATAAATGTGTGAAAACATTTGTTGCATATTGCAGATGGTAGGTAGATAAGTAGGTAGGTATGTAGGCAGGCAGATAGATGAGAGATGAGAGGGAGAGAGGGAGGGAGGGAGGGAGGGAGAGAGAGAGAGAGAGAGAGAGAGAGAGAGAGAGAGAGAGAGATCTTGGCAGCTTGTTTCAGTTGTTAAGCTTAGGACACCAAAGATGATAATGGGATAGTAGATCAGGAAGGAAACAAAGAAAGGAATGCACCTAAAAACAGGCCAAGGTTGAGGACTCAAAGACATAATGATGTGAACATGTCAAAATAGTAGTTTTGGTGGAGGGTTTTTCAGAAAGAGGGAATCAGCCCATATCCAAGCCAAGTTGGACATTAAAATAGAATGGAGCTGGAAGGGTCTTCTAGTCCAACCTGCAGGAAAGCAGGAAACCTTATACCATTTCAGACAAGTGGCGGTCCAGTCCAGTCTCTTCTTAACAACCTCTAGCAATGAAGCACCCACAACTTCTGATGGCAAGCTTTGCACTGGTTAACTGTTTTCACTGTTAGGAAGTTTCTCCTTAATTCCAGGTTGCTTCTCTTCTTAATTAGTTTCCATCCATTGAATTATTTGAATTGAATAATCAATTGAATTATTGATTTAGCTGAGAATAAATGCAGTCATTGGTAGAAATGTATTACAAAATATTACAAAAATAAGCTATAATGTAACATTTAAATTTGAGCAAGGCAGTAGATATTAGGACTTGACCACTGCATTATCCAGTTTAAAACACCCAACTTTGTGACCATATAGAATAATATCTCTATATTAGAAGAACAACCAGAAGGCCTTCAAAGTCACCCCAAATCCAGACAAAATGAGAGAACTGTAGCTGCGATGGTAAGAACATGTGGTCAGAGCTGATGTGGAATCCACTGCGAGGTGAGCACTTGCATTTAGCCCAGATGGTCAGCAGCCCCAAGGACAACCAAAAAACTGATGGATAAAGACATGTAAGCCATGGGCATGTGCCCTGCTTGTAAAATGCAAGCAGTGAACAAAATGCAAAATTGTGGATCTCACAATATGGTGAAATAACTCAAAAGAACAAGAAGACTGGAGGTATCAGAGATAATAATCAGAGTTTTAGATAGAGGGTGTACATTCAGGCAAGGATGCTTTCACTTTTACAAGCCACTACCACAAATAAATCAAATAAATCAATCCAATTAATGGGTTGAAGAGGACAGGAGGGAAAGAAAACTATGTCTCAGATTCAAACAACGCCTTCGTGTGAGAAATTTGGTAAAGTTGCTTTAACTTTAATACAATCAAATCATACCTGATGTTTTTGTTATTTAATTGTCTTGTCCTGTGTATAATGATGATGATGATGATGATGATGGAAGGGACCTTAGAGGTCATCTAGTTCAACACCCTGCTCAGGCAGGGAACTCTATACCATTTCAGACAAATGGCTGTCCAGTCTCTTCTTAAAAAACTTCCAGTGTTGGAGCATTCACGGCTTCTAGAGGCAGGTTGTTCCACTGATTAATTGTTGTAACTGTCAGGAACTTTCTCCTTAGTTCTAGGTTGCTTCTCTCTTTGGTTAGTTTCCATCCGTTGCTTCTTGTCTTGCTTGCTTTGGAGAATAGCTTGACTCCCTCTTGTTTGTGGCAGCCTCTGAGATATTGGAACACTGCTATCATGTTCCCCCTCGTCCTTCTCTTCATTAAATTAGACATACCCAATTCCAGCAGTTGTTCTTTATATGTTTTAGCCTCCAGCCCCCTAATCATCTTTGTTGCTCTTCTCTGTACTCTTTCTAGAATCTCAACATCTTTTTTACATCATGGTGACCAAAATTGGATGCAGTATTCCAAGGCATTGTAAAGTATTAGATAGTGTGTACAAATGTTTACCTTTACCAAGAAAACTCTGTGGATGTGTAGCCAACAGCTGTCGAGGGTTCATTGAGATGGCCATCTGGCATTAACAAAAGCAAATCACTGCTAAATAAAGGAAGGGAAACTCCATGGCACACTTTTTTTCAGTAAATGAGTTTTTTTTTATTGTAATAAATGGCGATAAACAAATGGAAGTTTTGAATGCCCCTATTGTTTTTACTCTGATTGCATTAGTTATATCAATAGAGTATTTCTTTCTCCCATTATCATCTCCTAATTTCTGTGAACTTTAGGTAGCTACAGGTAAATTCTAGTTCCTTTTCAATTCTTCAGAAAGATATTTGATTCTTTAGCTCCCATCTACCATATTTAATATGAATTACATCACCCCAGTCATGAGAATAGCTTTCACAATTTAAGTTGGCCATTCTAATAACTTCAATGTCTTTCAACCACATTTGGAATTCAGGGATCATGTTATAGCCATTCTTATTGGGCATTTCATCACCATTCACCGAATTGTTTCCCTAGGGTGCAGTAATATCTCCATCACTCTGCAACAGTGATAATTTCTTCCATTTGAATTAAAACCTAAAGGAAGCTAGCAGAATAGAATGCCTTCCACTGGGCTTCTTTCAAGCTGGGAAATGTAGGGAATCTATGGGATAAGTAATAAACACAGATGTTCATTACAGGCCACAAAGATGTCAAAAGAAGAACATGTTGTGTAAATGACATAATTATATAATTTGCATCAGATGCATTATGTCATTTAATACAAGTACATAAGTCATATCATTTATAAAATATAATGATAATGAAAACAGCAGCACTAGCAGTAGTATTTCTAACCATCAAGTACGCGTACAAAAACAGCAAAGAAATACATAAAAGAGATTCTCAAGCAACCCAAGGACCAGGTAGATACATATACATAAGCCACTTTTCCCAACTTTTGAAAATGCGGGGGGAAAATATGGCACAATACTAAGAAAAATACGCTTTGCCTGTAAAAGTGTACTGTTGAGCAGCACAAACTAATAAGCAATCTGATTTGAGTCTATTTAGAAGAAGAAAAAAAGAATTGAAGTGATTCTGTTTTTCCCCCTATATTATTGAACAAACAAAAAATGGTGTATGGATAGATAGATAGATAGATAGATAGATAGATAGATAGATAGATAGATAGATAGATAGATGCTAATAAGTATATAGATGATAGATATAAATATAGTTGATATAGATATAGATGATATATGATATAACAGAATATTTAATCTTATAGGATATAATCCCTGCAGCAAAAAATACTTTTAGTATTTTCTATCCAGATAGCAACTAAATTATAGGATAGCCAAACAGATGGACACACAGAAACACACACATAGAGACATACAGATACATAATGTATATATGGAATTGGAATTATGGAATTCCATATATGAATATGGAATGTATATTTGGAAATAAGGGGCAAACCAATTATCATAGCAATTTCCAAACATCAGAAGCGGAACTTCTTAATTTGTGATCACATTTAAGAAAAAGAGGCATCCACTGATTGATCTTCAAACTCTTTGCATATAGATCATACATTTTATCATGATTGTGTCCATGTATATAGCACAGCACTTATAAGGATGAATGGGAGGTGACAATTTTCTTGTCTTCTAAAAATGCCATTTTTACAAAAGCTCGTGTGTTTATGTCAAAGGAGTTGTCAGTCTACAACAGAGTGGGGAACAATATATTTGAGTAAATATCATTCTATAACTTGAATTTAGGAAAATAAGAGGGAAGGGAAACCATTGGGAGCAATGTGATAGCAATAATTCTAAATGTTGCCAGAAAAGATTAATCCATCAAATTTGTACCAATAATCATTTTTATAAGATAAAAAGAGTATTTACCTTGTCCTGAAGTTTGCTGGTTGAGGATGCCCGTCATATAATGATAAATAGTCATATTCTTCTTCTAGAGCAAAAGACTGAAATACTATCTGTATTCTATTTCTTTCTTCTGCAATTATGACCCATGTGCAGTTTGCACCATTTGGATATCCATACGGAAAGCCTGGACTTTCTATAGTTCCATTGAGTCCTTTTAAAGTTCCACCACATGTATAAATAAATCCTGCAAAAAAGAAGAGTTATAAGCTAGGAATTATTACAAATAAAATAGATAAGATAGTTAAGACAACCTTTATTGTCATTTTTTACTGTGAGCACACTGGCGCACATTAAAAGTGAAATTATGTTGCCTACTCTCAAAAGTGTACACATACATAACACACATATAGATATGCTATATACATACATATGTATATATCTACACCCTTAAATATAAATACATATAAATATTAATCACTGTCCATTTTGAATATAGAGTGGAAAGAGGAAGCTTGAGAGTTCACAAGGTTAATAACTGTAATGAATAAAACTGTGACTGAATCTGGTATTATTGGATACCAAGAAGCCTCTTCTCAGAAGTTAACAAGGAAAACAGGTTGCGAAGAGGATGTGTAGTGTCACAGACAATACTGTGGACCTCGCTCAAGCAACACTTATATACTATGTCCTAGATAGAAGGAAGTGAATTGCTAGTAATCTTTTCTGCCATCCTCACCACTCTCTCCACCGTCTACCTATCTGAAGCAGTAACACTTCCAAATTAGACTGTAATGCAATATGACTCTATAGAAAGTTGGGAAGGAATATGTACTTTTCTCATGTGACACAAAAAATGCAGGCATATTTAAATCAAATACCTTATGGTTTAAAATAAATCTTTAACCGATTATGTGAATTTATTCTAAAGGATATACTTTGGGCAGATGGAGACCAGTCAGCCCCAATTTTAAAATGTGATTTTTTCATTGAAACTTCCAAATATAAATAGGCAGTAAATTCTAATATAGGTTAAAAAAAATTCTTTTAGTGTCCCTCCTGATTTTAAGCTAGCATACTACCAATTCATTTTTACTTACAATACCACACGTTAAAACAAAAAGAAAAAAAAATGTTTGGAAGTCTATTAACCTTCTACCCCCACAACCATTTGAACATCAGGACTGATATAATAATTAATAATAATAATTAAGTAGCCTACCAATCACATTTTCCAAATATTTAAATTCCCCATCCCAAAACTGCTAACCCTTTGTACTGAATAGAAAAATATTCTCAAGTTGATTCATAGGGAACTAAACCATGATGTTATAAATTTTCCATTTCCTTTTGAAGTTCAAACTTCTCAAATTCTTGAAGTTCCATTTGAAATAGAAAGTGTGGTCCATGACTAAGGCTGCCTTTATGTTTTATTGCTCTTCAATTCTGCTGAAGACCATCCCACCAACCTCTGCAACCACAGAGAAACAGGTCAGAACAGAATGTTATGACCCAGTTGTTAAGTAGAATTTCCAACTGAATAGTGGAGTTTGTAACACTGGATGAAAATAAATTTCTCAATATGTTATTATTAAATTCAGTAGCAAAGCCCCGAACAGTTTGAGAGAGGATTGCCAAAGAATTTTGCCTTTTTGTTTGTACACTGCAGCAGTTGAAGCAAACACTTCTTCGCCCTTGAGATGAAGAAAAGATCTTAACATTTTCTTTTATGATTGGTGTTCCTCCTTGCAATTAACCCTTACTGCTTTAGTCTATGTGTTCAGGTGTAATTTGCAAAACTCTTTTTCTGTGAATCTACCTTGACATATAGCACATATTGGGCACATTACATGAGTAAATTGCCAAAGCAGAAATTTTCATTTCCTCTCCTGCTATCTCAAAAAGAATGTGAACAACAATTCACCATACTGAATAATAACAAGTGAAAAAAAATAACTAAATATTTAATGTCTTATTTAAAAAAGAAAAAACTATCCTCCTTTCAGAGAACAAAAGTGTTCTGTTGGCTTGTCTGCTATCTACATTGTGTGTCAAGATGATACACACGATTTCTTCTGATTTCTTCTTACTTACTGACCCTTCTATTACCATAACCAAAATCATCAATAGGAATATGTTGGAAAATGCAGGCAGGATTGGGCAGCGATATTGAAAGTGGACATGAACACCAGGAAAAGAATTAAAACTGGAATTTAACTAGGCTTAGCTTTACCGCTTAGCCAGTGATCCTTGCTGAACTACAACTTCCTTATTGGCTAGATGGTCAATGACGAAGGGAACTTCAAATATGCTCCTCACAAAACAGTATTCAGGCTGTTCCATGTTTCATCTATCCAGCAAGACAAATTTCCATCAAGGCTTTATCAAGAAGTATACAGAAGATGTGTGAACTCCTTTTGTGTCTCAAGACCATAAATCACCTACTTTTGCATAGCTGCAATATGCAACTATTTTAACTGAACACAACAATAAGCACATTTCATCCAATGGTTTCTTTTGTCAGCACCTCTTCTCTTTTGCTCTGCAGTGCATTATTCAATATATTATTGGATTAATGCAAATACCCTTCCTGTAAACCTTTCTCAATTTAAGTTTGGTCCACTTCTGTCAGCTGTTACCAAAATATTTTGGGGGAAGAAGTGTTATTTTCCTTTCTCAGTATCATTTCTTGCCTCATCAACTAACTCTTTTTCTATTTTTAAATCCCATCTGACTAAAACTTCAATTGTTATTTCTTTTTAACTGACTGTTAATTCTGTAGAAGCTATAGGGAGTATGCTTGGTTTGGATATTGCTTCTCAAAAGGAAACTTGAATTGCTAATGAATTATGCATAAATGCTGTTCCTCATATCATAAAATGATACAATTTTTGAAATATGTGAAACCCATATTGATGAAGCATATTGCTATTGGTATCCTATTTCTCAAGGTCTTTCAGCTTCACATCCATATGACACATCTTTGTGCAGCTATTGTTTCTGTTAGGATTTAGGGAGAAGTTTCCCAAAACCTGGACTAAAGGCATATAGCGTATCAAGTATCTTCATTCTCCAGAATGGCCATGCAAGTTATTTTTGAAATTCACAGAAAATTCTCTGGTAGATGCAGAAATTGTTTAAGAATAATGTTAACCATTCTAATCATTGCGTTGGTTTTTAACATGACGTTATTCAGAGGCCTTTTTGCTATTTACTGTTATTAGCATTATTTCATTTGATATTATTTCCTGTAAGTGTTTTGTTTTATTGTGCAATTCTTTTAGAATTTGTCTGATTTAATGTGTTAGCAACCACTCTGGGAAAGGATGTGGCATCCGCAGTCATATCTATAAAAATAAATAAAATAGATTATTCTCCAACAATAATCAAAAACTGGCAAGTCCGTTCAGCGTTATTAAAATAACAAAGTAGTTTTTTAATCCAAAACTTCCATAACTGGATTGCCAGGTCATTCCTGTGCTAACTGTTGCTATTTTTTTTTCAAACCAGGTTCATCCTTTCAAGGCCACAGATGGGTGTGTTTTGTGGAAATTCTCTTCAGAAAATCAAAGCAGAAGGAAAAGCTCATTTCTGCATCTTACCACAAAGAAAATAAACTTTTGTCCATAGGATGGTGTGATGGCTTTAGGTGCTGGGTTTGTCAGCTGAAAAACCAACAGCCTGGGTTTGAGATCCAAGTGTCATGGGACAGGATGAGCTCCAATCTTCTTTTAGCTCCTGCCCACCTAACAGCTCGAAAGCATGCAAATGCGAATAGATGAATAGATACCACTTCGGTGGGGAGGAAACAGCACTTTGTGACATCATGCTGGCCATATGACCACACAAACCTCTTTGGACGGTGCTGGCTCAATGGTCCTTGAAATGAAGATGAGTGCCACCCCCTTACAACCAGAGAAGTAAAACCTGCAAAGACTCCTTTCCTTTCCTGTTGCAATAGTTAAGGAAGTTACAACACAAATCAAAGGAAATGTTATCTCTACTTACTTACATGTCAAAGTCTATATCATTGGAAATAGCAAAATTCAGCCTAATTCTAGAATTAACCTTATTTTATTTGTCAATACAGTAATCTAATATGCTAGATTAATGATTCTGTCTCAGGGACCAGTTTTTGCAAAATAGCTCTAACTGAGCTCTAACTTAGTATTGCTATGCATGAATTCACATTTTTAAAAAAAGAAATCAGAACTCAAATGTAAAGGAAGATCAAGAAAAACCAAGCAGCGTTTCTTTTGGGGGGAATTCAAATGTATTTCTTGATTTTCAGTAAAGAGTCAACTTTGATTTAATGCACATAAAAGTCCTTAAAACTGCCTGAATAGGATATTTGGGGAAAAGCTTGTATTCATTTAATGAACATGAACTCTCTGTTAAATGTCTAGTTTGCTTCTGTATCTGATGACTAGTGTACTCCTAAGAGCCTACTAACAGCAAAATATAACCTTTCTGTGCTGGAAAGATACTGGAAAAATAGAAATATCTGAGGTTAATTATTCTCACCATAAGTATTTTTAATTTTTTAACTTTGTCTCAAAGTCCACTTTCAGTATCATGGAGGAATTTAACATTTTTCTGAATAAGGAGAAATCATCAAGCAGAAATACAGGATATAATCCTTTAATCCACCTTGCTAGTTTTGAAAGAGCAGGTTGTCTCAACTTTTAATGCAATCCACTGGCAAACAGATTTAAAATACAACAGAAATTTAAAATTCTACAAAAAGCAATCAGAACAGAACAGCCAAGACGAACAATTATTTGCAAATGCATTTGATTTGCATAATCCATTCTGAAAGTAAAATTAGCATTTTCTGTTTTTGGACTAATGCAGCATGTTTTAGCAGAGAGATTTTGCTTTTTCTTTGGTTTATATACCTCAGACCTATATGCTAAACTCTTCAACTCTTTTACACCTTCATTAAGTTTCAGATTATTCATCAACCTCACATTTAGATTATGAAAATAAATACTACTTTAGCTAATAGCACTATGAGTGATCATAATAGTAATTAACACCATCAAACAAGAAAATCTGCCTAACCAGGTCCTTGGGAAGGACTTTATAGCTGGATAAAAATACCAAATCCAGTTTAAACATCTGGCTTACTGTGTGACAAACCATAATAGTAAGCTAAGATACATAACCTTTATTGTCATTTACCTGTACACACAATGGCAGACATTAAAATGAAATTCCAATGCTCCGCTCTGGAAGGAAGGACCT